TGCAAGTACAAATAATGAGCTATCAGACAGAATTTATAACACAGACATGCACGGCCACTTTTTCATTCATAAACTTTCTCATTCAAGATATGGACTTTTTGTCCCAGCCCTGGTGTTCCCTCCCGTTCTTCTGGAAAATAATGCTTACAATGTGTTTTTGGATGCTCTCTTTCTCGTTAGAATCTTGGAGTTACACTCGAAGTAAAAAGTCACTCGTTTTCCTGGCCAAGTTGAAGGGCGGTTGATGGGGTCGGTGACTGGAGTGGTGGTAAAGGCTGGTGAGCACTAAACACATTCCGCTTACTAACCTCTCGGAATCCTAGTCTACCAAACTTGACAAGCATCTCGTCAGTCTGTAGGCCAGTCGGAGCCGACTTGTGCCTGGCGAGGGTGTGTTTAGAAGACTGACCTCCGGTCTCGTTCACCCGGTCGTCCTGCCTTCGGGGGTCAAATGCCTGGTACCTACCGGCTGCCGAGTATCTTCTGGTCCCATTTGGAGTTTGATCCCAGTTCACATTGGGCACAACGAGGGATCGCCGGCCATTTTTCACAAGGAGTTGACGTCTCGTATCCAACATCTCCACCTTGGAATTTCCTTGGTGAAGGGACGATTCTTTGGACACTTCTCGCACTGAGACACCTAGTTGTAAGGGCAATTCATCAGAATTCTCCAAGTCTTCCAAGGTTGGACTCTCACTTCGAACACTGGTAACAGACAGTGCCTCTAGGTCCACCTCATCTGGGAACACATCGCAGAATTCCTCCTTGGCGACCTCCGCAATACGGAAGTTCCTGGCCGACTCTGGACGCCGAGGTTCCCTATGTAAAACAAACTCATCGGTAAAAAGTTTGCCTGTGTTCTCATCGTGAGGCCCCATAGCCAACTGCGATGCGAGACTCACCGTTTGTTTTTTCTCTTTGCACAAGAGGAGGTCTGAGCTGAGTAGCTGGTCTGCCGGCATTCCTCCCGAGGAGGTCCTCCGTGGCTGGGCAGTCAGCGGTCTCAGTCGATAAGTTGACTCGCGACGAGTGGCATGATTGGCATTGTCCGATCTGAACTGGCACATCTCCAATCGGCGTTGCAGATCCTTCTGGTCGTTCAAAAACTGTAGGATGTGAAGCTGCTTGGACTTCTTAAAGGCTTTGTCCATGGTCAGGAGAGCCTCGTCCCTTGTCTGAGCTCCAGGAAAAAGCGAAGACATGATTCTTCACCGTGTGTCTTCCAACTTAACTAAAAATCGTCTGTGGCATCCCTTGCATTATTTTCCTATCTGAGCATCCTGCCGTCAGTAGTATTTGCCTCCGTTGCGTATGTACGTCTACGTTGCATGCCGGTCAGGAAATCGCAGTGTCATCGGCGCGTCATTTTCATCCATTCCTCGTCGCATCCAAGAAAATCATCATTTCCGAAACCTCCATCATAAATTTCGTGATGTATAGGCCTAGCTGAAAATCCCTTGTTTTCCTACTGTTTTGTAGTTGTACACCACGTAAACACTGGATTGGCGACTGAGGCTTGACAATGCTATGGCATAATATTCAATCCTTGTTGTATGCAAGCAGCTTACCGGGACTCTGACAACTCCTGCTTGTGTTGCAGGTAGCAGCTTATACGCATGGAAAAATTCCATCATGTAAGCTGCCTCCCACTGGATACACGATGTCGTTTCGACGCTTGGGTATTCCCATTTTAACGAAAACAGTCGGAACTCATGATTTCAGAAGTGAAACAAATTTCTTTGCGAATTTTGTTTATCACAAATTCCCAAAGTGTATGGACTGAGTGTGCTCAAGGCATAATGGCTTCGTTCATGAAGCGCGCTTTGAATACAGGGCGTGTTTCATTGATAAAATATCAAAACATTGCGGTAGCTTACACATCACATTCATTCATTCATAATTCATTACTCGGTTGTAGGAAGAACGGTGTTAACAGCTCAATTTCCAATGATTTTCAAAGATCCTTTTTTCTGTTTTGAGCTCGCTCAAGTGAAAATAGCATTTCCCCCAAATGTGCATCAGTTGGATCTTTAGTACGGGCTTGTACATCATTTCTTTCCGTAACTGGGGAGGAAGGACAAGTGCTGTAACAGCAGCGGTAACCAATGCCACGACCGGCGTCCACTGCAAAATAAAGAGTAGCCGCTTCTTCACGTGTCCCGTGTGCGTGGCTTACACCCTTGAAGATATCGATCTTCCCATAGAGCGAGCTAATAACGAACATCACCCGATCAAAAGATGCAGTCTGTTTGGTGTAATTACCAGTTCGTACAACACCGGCTACTGGTATGCAAAGTATTGTTGCGGCGGGAATCCAAAGAGATTAGAATGGATAACTGTCTGAGTTGTTTCTGTACGGTCACAGAGAAGTAGCCGCATGTAGCGGTACATAAGTATCTGTGCGCCAGGAAATGATTTCTCGGCTGACGTATTGACAGTTTCTTCGGGAGAGGTTCCAGAACAAGTTTTGAGTTCTCAGCAGATTGAACTTTTCAGCACTGGTCCTAAGTCGGTGTAGGTCTACACGTCTGAACACATCAGTCTCATGTTCCATCAATTTTTAACTGAAATGGCGGACCGGAGACCAAAGCAAAAGCGATGTCATCGAACTCGTACTTGCGCATGTGGCCACTATATAGGGCGGCAATGGCTCCCCCGACATTTGAAGCCCTTGAACGTACCTCGTAACGTATAGGATCATAGGGCTACAAACCCTCACGCTTTTGGCGTGAGACTCATGCATTACAAGGTATTTCTGCGCTCTCACGCCAATGAAGGATTTCTCACGCCAGGCAAAATAAATACTACAATGAAAACATTTATTTTTCCTCAATCCCACTCCGTCCAAGTGTGCTTCCCCACCTAGTGATGCTCTACGTTATTTTAGCTCAAATCGGATATGCTAATTCTCTGTGTACGGATGCAGTGTTTTTCGTTTGGGCTTCATTTTCCAGTACTCCCGTGTGGGAAGTGGTTTGGGAAATTAACAGGAGTCATTAGGACTAATATGTTAGGAACCTTTCATTGTATATCTACGAGTACGTGCCACGCGCGCACCTATCTCCAGATAAGACGATTGGTAATGATTACCAACGACGGGAACATGATTAAAAATGAGTGGAGAGGTGTTTCGATATCAAAAACTTGTTGTGACTGTCTGACTGAAAAGGTATTTATTAATGGGAATATATATGTGCTTAATCGCTCGGGCATGAGTTGCATTCATTCTGCTCCTTAGCCGGTCTGAAACGCACGTTTAAGACTGACAAGCACGTGTCTATTCCCTTATGTATAAATACGCCGCTTTACTCATTCTATGGGTTGAATGTTCTGCAATTTTTCGTTTTGGGGGCTAATGTTTATTTGCTGCAATAACACTCCCAAGGCTTCACACATATTTGAGTGTGTCCTGTTCATTTTTATACATAGTACTTCCAGTTTCGTTTATATCGTCATTTTTACTTATTTAAGTTTATATATTGATTGTAATTTGTGTTTTTGTTTTTAAAATTCGCATTTAGCCAATTTACTTTCATTTTCACCTCAGTTTTAACTCCGTTGTTGATATTAAGCCATTAAAAATAACTATAACGATGACACTACATGTATAATTTAAGAACAGATTGTTCGATTAGTAAGTTACCTATTGATGCTTCCCAGACATTCCAAATGATATTCCAAATGCTTGTATTTTCCAAACGAAGTCAATTCGAACGGTGACAGGAGTTCCCCCTACAACCCACAGATAATGCCGACTGCATGCCCCTGTGTGTGACTTCCTAAAATGCACCACGCGTATGAATTAATTAAAAAAAAAATTGCGCATCCAGCCGAAAAATTACTCAAGGCTTGGGCCAGTATACACACGGACCTGCAAATGAACACATCTAGCTAGCCAGCGTTAGACAATGGTCATCTCATGGCTCAAAGTGTTTGTTAGAGCATTGTTCTCTTATATAATTTACAAAAGTGGAGGTAGGAACGTGGTTAAAATCAGAGATGCAACTCAAAAGGTGGAGATGATAAAAAAAAATATACACATTTTCATCGTTTCTCCTTATCACAAGAATTCTTCATCTGGCATCTAAATTTGATTAAGCCAGAACACATGAGACATGTTTTTAAAAGATGGGCTCTCCAAGTGTGGATATTTTGCCTTACCTCATAAAGATCTACTTGACCCCGCCCTCAAAATAGTAAGACTCAAGGTGCTTCCATTGTTCCATGTTCTGACGAGGTGCACAATTAATTCCTCGACGAACTTAATTACAATGTACATCTTCCTACAGTGAACAGCATTGACAGTGTTTGAGAGTTATAACAAGTGCGAACAAAAAGGGGCAAAAAGAGAGATAAAAAGAAACGGGCCTTCATTTGATACGTTTCTTGAATACCCGAGAAACTTGTATTTTTTGCTGATTTAATCATAAATAAAGTTTTGCACTAGCGGCTTATCTTGTCTTCAACCATTGCAGAAGGTTGCAGGCCAGGCAGAAAACTGCTTGCGCAGGCCAAATCACAATTTGTATGCTCTCACATTCTCTACGAAATAGAGCATTTTGTGGCCCGTGAACTTGACGAGAGAAAAGACAGGTTAAGGCGGGCAAAGAGAATACCAACTTGCATCTGAGTAAAATTTGGAAGAATGATTTGGAAGCCCGAATATGGTCTCGGGCTATTTTTCGACAAGTGTAGGCATCGATATTTCAAAATGGCGAGGGGCTTCACGACTGCATTTTAGGGATGACCTTCCGTGGAAATATGTCTTCAAAAGTCATTGGTTAATGAATGGAAATTTGAAAAGAAAATGAAAAATCATAAACTGGGCTTTAATTTCATGTTCCATTGAACGCCTGAGAAACTCGTGAGTATTTGTCCCGATTTTTTTTTCTAATTTTGGGTATTTATCATGTTAGCTGGCTATGGCAGTTTATTTACTGGCTTGCGACCGCAATGTTCACCACAAATTTTGAATGGCGCCACCAAGTGGCACAATTTGACCAATTTGGCAATGGTCGCTTCCATTCTCACAAGTACCATTACCTTTTTGAGATGGAAAAACACATTCAAAGTAGGATACAGATGTCAGTCTAACGCAAAATAATTATATAAATGTAAGTGAAGATTACTAATAAATGCCATGTTTTGAAATGCAGATGTGGTGGATGGCATTATTCGCTTGTATTTAGCCTAGGCCTTGTTAAGTAGTGTGGCACGGACTCCCTGCCGTTAAGGATGGAGCAGTAGCGAGAGTCCGTGCCTACCGCTCCATACTAAGGATGGAGCAGCAGCGAGAGTCCGTGCTACACTAGTGGGCTAGGCCCAGTAATAAGGTTGCAAGGCATTGTGGGAAGGAAAAAGGGGCAAACATTTCCCCAGTTTCTTTCCAACAACGTCTAACATTGTGCAAAATCACCCATGCAGTATTAGGCTTAAGATTCGTCATGTCCGTGGAGATGCTGAAGGCTGATGACTGTAATGTTACACCCCAACTAGCTATGCTATGTCTCAGCCCAAGCTATTTGACTATAGCCTAGGGCCAGTGGCATATAGGACCCAACCATAGTTTGGGTGTAACGTAACAGTACTACTACATTTGGCCTACATCTAGACCCTTAAATGGGGCCCGATGAATACTCCTCCGTCGTATCAAGTATGTGACGGAGGAATATTCGTCGGGCCCTGTTTACAGGTCTAGCCTACATCAGTCATTCATCACACCTCATTCAATGAGATTTGAAGCTTGTATTTTGTTGTGTTCTCATTGTGATGTATGGACATGAACATATCAAACCTATGTAATGAAGACTGGGGCCCAACCTGGGCTATTGTACATTAATGACATTATCCCAGAACCCTGACCTTCTTTTGGGGAGAGGGAAACCAGACTGCACTTACGCATGTGCTGTTATAACATATTGTCTGAGTGCAAAAATATCTAAAACGCCATTTTATTATCGCAATTTCAAGAGGAAAGCTTGTCTTTTCTCTCCCTCTCAGATATGGGTATGGACGTAGCTGGTGATGATGAGGTGCAGCAGTCTTGGTGGAAGAGGCAGCAGACGAATTTCCGCAAGGAGGTCAATGATTTCGATCTGGCGGAGTGCAGTGGTTGCCGGTATATTGGTGGAGGTGGCATGATAGGGGCTGGGCTTTACGTCGCCTATGCAGGCTATCGTCGAGCCAAAGGGTTGGGCCGAAAATGGCGGTTTATTCCATCCACCTTGGTTGGATCAGGTGTGTGGCACATTTGAACAACATTTTGAAACAGTACAATGATGAAGCTTTGTATTCATGGCCATGACTCTCTTCAAACAGAATGTACTTTTTTCTGTGCCATTTGCACCCACTAGTTACGCACTTTTGTAGTTCAAGTGTGTCAGAAATCATCGGGACTGGAGTCCAGTCTCAAGCCATTTAAATAAACTGCCACAGGAGTATTCCTGCCTGTCTTGTGTAACCCATGTCACAAGTCACTTAATCGCTGAATGGACCTGTGATAAAAAACACTGCAATGAGACGTTGATGGATTTGTGATGTTTACTGGATGAGGTAGAATTAAGCTGATGGAGGTTTGAAAAAAAAAAGTTTAATAGTTCCTTACAAAATTTATAGAATTTTGTAAAATATTGTAGAATTTTGTAAATGAAAAAGGATATAACCAAGCCAGGAATGTAAAGAAATATTTTAGAATTTGTTGACTTTTACAAATATGTATTGAATTGCAGACGATGGATTTTTGTTTCTATTTTTTTCTCTTGACGTCAGCTTTGGTGACTCTTGGGTTGATGAGACTCTCTGGACACAATCCCTTCTCATCAAGTGGGAAGTCAGTCGGAATTGATGCCTTGGAGCCCCTCAAGGACATGATATCCAAGAGTCAAACGGAAGCTGAGCTTAGGAAGAAACTGCAGAAGCTGGAGCAGCAGAGGCTGGATAATGCAAACCACATGGAGAAGAAGCTGCAAGGGGTAGAACACATGGGGAAACAGGAGAAGCCTGACACTAGGCAACAAAAGCAGGACTCAAGTGCACCCGGTACCCAGGACAAAACACAGCCTAGTTGATGAAAGTCAAGCAAGAGCAGTGGGGTGGTATTTGAAAGGTCACCGGTCAGTGACTGTGAAGCATTGTGGTTTACATCTTCAGCTTAGATTAATGCATTTATTCTGACAAAGAGACTTCTGCCTCCACCACTGTTCTAAAGGCTAACAAGGAACTATTCAATTAAATATTGCAACAGAATACATCTTTTGACCAATCTCTTCGCAAAGTTTTGAATGTTGCCGTATATCCCATTTAATCTTCTCTGTTTTTTCTTCAAGAAGATGTTATGGCTGTATTGAGGCATGTGTCGTCAGTAGGTTGAACTGCTTGAAAAGAATTCTCAGATTCAATTTCTCTGCCCCATTTCTTTTAGACATATTTGCTGTAATGAAATTGCCCATAGTACAAGAGTTAGAAGACACAAATAACATCTGAATTTTGCATTTTTTAGTACCTAGTCAAGAAAATAGAAAGCTTGATTTTGCAAAGTGTGGTAAATTTAATAACAGAGACAAATTGGATATATGAATGGGCCAATTGTTCTCAACCACGCAGATTAAGTGAGGTTCGTCAGCTTGTACCATTAAATTTGCATATAAAAATTACAAAGGTAGACCTGATGCACATTTTATTACAGAAATTTACATTTTGTTACTAAAAGCGATGTGTGAAGTGAGAAATGGAAGCTTGTGCATAGCGGGCAGGAGAGTCATCAGCTGGGAGGGGAGAGACGCTCCCGAAATGATGTCAATGTGCTTTTGTTTTACCAGAAAAAATTTCATTTATCCGTCGACCGTACAACATGCCCACTTCTGAGTTCCCCCTCCCATTTAAAACGTAAAATATTGTGTTTCATCCTTGCTCTATGATTAAACCCCGCCAGGGTCAATCTGTTTTAAATAGCCTCTCAAGATACAACTGTGCAACTTAAGATGTCGAGGACAATTGCCATTTAACCCTCCTATGCTAAGATGCATTCTTGTCACAGTTGTCATATCAGTCAAATTTCCCATACGTGTCTGTGTACTGGGGGAAATCAATTGGAAGGCATTTTTGACAGTTTTTGACGGTTAAAACAGAAGGAGGGTTAAGAAAGTTCAATATACAGACAACACTTGATGTCCCTGATGTCCCTGTCACTATCTGTGCACAAACCTATGAGACATATCTGAAAAAATACCAAAGTGTTTTCTGAGTAGGCCTAAATGCTTTTGGATTTTGTCAGCTTAATTTCGCTATATAAAACATGTTATCACTTTCTGACTGTTATTATAACATTTTAAGGGAAAATTAGTGTTGTCCTCATATGGAAGTCTTTCCGAAATGGACTTTATTTTCGGATTTAATACCCTGCCATTGTGGTCATTCAGTTTTGCTGTCAATGAATGAAGTCTCAGTAGTTACCGACATCCGCTCATGATCCGGCAGTAGTCATGATAGTAGAATCCTGAGGCATGTGCAACACTAAAAACTACCAATACCAAAATTCCACACTTTTAACTCATAAGATGAGAGAAAATGAAGTTGCCGTTGCGGCTCATTCAAATTACTACGAGACATAAGAAGAAGGGCTTGTATAATATGCATGCCTATGGCTGAATTTAACATGTGTCATGGACTCTGTCAGCTTTGGGCATCAAGCGTTTCCCTTATCAGTTGCCATCTTTAGAGTCCTAGTTACTTGGACTAATCCTTGTCCAAGAATTTTGCAGTTGGGGGCTCACAATGAACTGTGTCAATAGAGGTTCTTTGTCCCCATGTCCTCAAGAAGTTTTGCAAGAGTTTTGTATCACAGGGATAGGCTCCGCTCGAGGAAACGTTGTGTGCATTCACTGTAACTAAATTAAAATAACAAGAACGGCCTCTGAGGCACCATGAAGATGCTGGCAATGCATAACTTCCATACTATGCTAATTGTGTCCACACAAGACGAAACATGCTGCAGAGGAAATGTATTAGATTGCCAAGTAGTGGGAATCAACAAATTCTAGTAAGTTCTGCAAATTTTAAAATGAATTCTACGGTTAAAAGTGATGATTAAGACCAAAGACATTTTGGATGAAATCAAAGTATCTTCTTACCAAATGTGTATCATAAAATAAGGGTTAACTTAACTAGTTGGGAGAACCTCAGTTGCTTGCTATTTTTGTCTTGCATCCAGGTGATGCCTCAGAAATAATGGTCACCTGGAGCAGCTTTGATGACACTCCATCAATTGTTCAATATGGGAGGAAACGGCTAGATATTAGTACCAAAGGATCCAGCGCTAAGTTTGTTGGTGGGTCACTGCATCATGCACAGTTCATTGTGTGAAACTGACTGGTCTGGAACCAGGAACAAAGTATGGTAAGTGTATTAGCAAAATTGTGCATTCTTTGGAACATTATACCTATTCCATTAGTTATTACAGTCCACATCCTGATGTGGGAAGACAAGACAGTATAGTATGATTTATAACTTGAAGCTGAGATTGGATCCATGATAAGAAAAATGTTTGCCAACCAAAGTTTGCCTCCCTCTTGAGACAAAACTTGAAACCAGTGTGTCTCCCATGTTAGCTAAAGGGGTCCCCACAGCTGTATGACATGTCCTTCCCCCTCCGAGATGATCATAGATTTGCTTGATCCAATTTAACAATTAAGAACTTGATGAAAAATATGACTGGATGCAATAAACCCTCTTAAATGAACTGTCTCTTTCACACTTAGTCTATTGCTGTGGAAATGAGGAAGGTTGGAGCACACTGTTTTTCTTCACTGTGCTTCAGTGGGCACGATTATCAATTACTTTATTTGCTTGCTGAATATACAGTAACAGAAACCTGGTGAGTGGTCAAAGTTTGAAGGTCTTGTATAAATGATCGCTGAATCTGGACACATCACAAAGTGAGCAGCTCTTCTGCAGACTAGCTATATTGTGGGAGATTAGAAAAATAATTTATCAGGAAAGCATGTACACTAGATAAAGAAAGCAAGTCATCAAACTCAGGTTTTTTATTTTTACACTCTTGTAAAAAACTAAAAACAATTCTTAACATATGGAATGCTTGTCAATGTCTTTTCTTATCAACTGAATCACACAACAGTAATAGTTGAGAGGAGCACTTAACACAATTTTACACAGAATTTTGTTTTTACTGAGATACATTATGCAAATGTATGCTATGACAGTGCACCATTTGTTGCAGTAATCTCTGTTGCTTTTGTAAAGTGTTAGGAAAAACAGGGGTAATGTGTCTTCAGTTGGTCCTTTTACAATAACTACCAACTGAATTGTTTTATGTTATTTATTTCAGTTGAGTAATTTGGGATTCTATTTTGATTTGTCATTTGCTGAAAAAAAGCTATTTCAAAATCGACCAAGAAGTATTTTTACTGAACCAAAATGTCAAAAACTCTATAGAAAAGCATTTTTATTGATTATATTAATTTCCAAAGACATGAAGATAACAGGTTTAAGGTGAAGGTCCAAGGTTTATGTGGAATTTGGAACAGTTTAAACTATGAAAAGTTATAAGCAAACAAACAATAATGCAGGCACATTATGTTTTAGTTCCTACTGTTGTGTTAAACATTTTCTGAAGGACAGATGGGTTAGCAGCATTCAAAAGAATTAAGTCTATCTAAGTCACTGTTCTCCTGTGATGCAAAGTGACATCAGGATATGTTCTGTGGTGTGTTCACATTCACATAGACCTATTTGGAACTACCTTACATGTAAATGAGCATTGGTCAGATTATGATAAAGGTTAACAGCCCAGCAGTTGTTTATTGGAAAACTATATTTGTACAGTGGTACTGTAATTCATTTATCCTTTTTAAATGTGGATTTGTCAGCTACATATCATATAATACAGTAATGGTTTATGTATATTTGTGAATCCTAAATTTTCATGCATTCTTCAGGATAAAAGTTTCCTTTTGTGTATTTTAATAAAAGAAATTAATGTTGATAAATCACATTCATTTTGTGAATATTTCCCTCGTTCTCATAATTTCTATAACTAGCTGCTTTGTTAAACACATGTTAGCTTTTCACTGTTGGGCAAATCATTGGAGTCCAGCACATATTATCTGTGGCGCGTGACAGCAAGATAACACCATGTAAAACATTGTTTGATGGCCTTTCTCACTTTTAGCAACCAACTTGGAGGAGACACTCCTGTGACATAAGCTAGGCGACCAACAGTTCTGCAGAGGTTGCAGTGGTAATGCTTGCTTGATTGCTTAATTGTCCACAGATCAAGGACCCCATACCCTGAAGTTGTACACCACATTTTTTAAGGAAGCAATTAACAGATGTCTCATGTGAAACCATGGAGCTATATAATTAGCTAGCTACATGATCTAACCCCCATCGGAAAAACCTCCCTAAATTTAATAAAAAATGAGGAAAGCTGGGGAAGTTTAATTACAATTAACATAATTTATAACTGCACCCACCACTTATCAGCTCCAGAGGCTGGCCCAACACCTCTGTATGTGCCAGTTTGCTAAAACAAAACTGAGACCATTATAATCAGGTGATAACATACAAGACACACTTTCTATGTGCTTGAGGTGTACCATCTTACTATAACACTGCAATAATTATTAGACGTGTCTTTTTCTGACTTCGGGTCTCCTTGTTCCAGATCACCATGCTATTTCACAACAAAAGTGCCTGAATTAACATATAGGAGTCCCGTGTCAGTAGTTTCACATATAGGTTATAAAATAAGCAACTAAATGACCACAAGTAATGAAGAGGTCAGTTCAAGAACCGAAATAAAAGGGATGAATCCATACGGAAGCCAGTTAATGCCAATTCGAACTATGCAAAAATATTTTTTATTGCCAAAAAATGCAATAAGCAAAATAATGCAATAGTATAATGCAATAGTTCTACAGACATTTGGGGCGAGTTTGCGCAGTTACTCCAGTTAACAAGCCTGGGATGTGTGCGCATTATACCCAGATGCAGGAGTATACTCCCCGTTGGCGAGAGTATACTCTCGCTGACCAGCAGGTCTCACTCGAGCCGGGCGAACGCACCCTTGAGTGAGCGGTGCATGTGATTTCCCGTGAAACAGCAATCAAGGAATGCTACGGTAAGCTTGACATTACACAAACGCGTGAGCTTCTACTTCTCTCTTGGTTGACTTATGAATACATGCTGGTTTTGGGCAGCAAATCATTGTATTGTCATGTTTAAGGACCCTAAAACTACGTTTGGCCTATTACAGATTGTCCAGGAGAAAGAACAAAGTCATCGATTTGTTGATGTTGCTCTTTTCGTACTGGAACAGACGCATGTGCATTCGAGTGAGCTGTGGTACTCATGTTAACGCAATACTCCTGAGCGTTTGAATGGCTGGAGTACATGTACAACCCGTAGGTCAGCGAGACTATAAAACTACCGGAGAGTATACTCCTGCACCTGGGTATAATGCGCAGGCATCGTACCCTTACTAACTGGAGTAACTGCACGAACGTGCCCAACATGTCCGTAGAACTATTGCATCATTTCGCAAAGTTATTGCATTATTTCGTAATAAAAATTTTTGTGCATAGTTCAAATTCGCACTAACGAGCTTCCATGAATCTGCATATTCCCAAGAAGCTTAATAAGAATATTCAGCCCGCCACCATGCTACCACTCACTTCTCCCACGTGTACATCGTAGCCGGCTACGATGTCGCACTTCTTGACCACTCACACAATGCACTAGGGCTTCACCGTACCATGACCGTACCTAATCATTCAGCAGAATCATGATAGGCCGCAAAATACCCGTGTTCGAATTGCCTGTGTTCGAATGTACGGCTGAAGCTCGAACCCACCAAACTCAACCACGGAGGTAGGTTTCCTACCTCTATGACTCAACAAAGAGCCGTGGCGTCCAGGGTACCAGTGCACGGTGCTTCGTGCGCTTTGAAAGTTCTCTTTCGTTGACTTAAGCATTTAGAAGGGAAATAAAGTCCGCTGATCGTGGCTCGGGAGTTTTTTCAGAAGGGGATTCCACAACCCCTTTCCCCTGGTCCATGCGCCTATGTACGTGTACGCACTGTCTATCGAAACTAATGCACCGACCCCGCGCACTTTCCTCAAGCACACGTGACTAGCACATGACATAATTATCGTAAACAGTGTCATGGTCCGTATTACTTGGCTGCGGCTTACTATTAGTATTACCGTTACAAAATCCATTGGTGCTTTAACGCAGAAATCACATTCATGTGATTTCAAGCCGCAGCCGAAACTAATTAATTGGACACGCCATTAATCAGACAGTGCAGTAAAATCGAATATTTCCTTGTCAGTATTCAGGATTTTTACCACCAAATCACCGCCAAAATTAAAAATGACGAATCTCTTTGGTTTTCAAATTCTGGTTGTGTGTGCTTTTCTGATATTAAGGATAGATGGTCAGGTGAAGTCGCAACCTGAACAAGTTCATCTTTCAGCCACAGGTGACGTATAGTAGTATAGCTAGGCCAATGTCACAAGCGTTGATCGCTTCTTCAATTTCAATACAGTACATGTATTGTACCGTAGGCTACTTCCAAATGTTCGGTCGTCAGCAATTTTGTCAGTTTGTTGGTTGTAAACAGCGTGGATATCGTGAATGTGTTTATGAAAGACTGTCCAATTTTTGACATACATGTAGATCATGATGATGGCAATTTTGCCAAAAATGCAATCATCGTGATCGATGTCAAAAATTGGCAACAGGTTCCGAGGTGTTGTCATTTGCAGTTAGGCTTAGGTATATAAATTGCCAGCCTATGTTTTGGTAAAAGCGTCCATGACATTACCCAACCATGCTAACCTAGGCCAAGTAAAGTAACTGAGACCTAGGCTACGTGAAGTCTCCAAGTCAGGAAGAGAGTTCCAAACATGGATGCAGACATCACTAATTTTTCCTGGCAGTAGTTTATGGCTCAATTGCAGAATACCCCACCACCCCACACGATCAGCCTCATAGCCAGGTACAAGTCAAAGTATCACACTCTTCTCAAGAGAGTTTCACCTTGTACCCACGTAACCGGCCATTACTGTCTGTAATACAGGGGTCGTTTTTTTAGAGTGATGGGGTACTCTGCAATTACTCCTAGCCCTAGATTATTAGCCATCAGAAAGGGATAACATGCCCTAAAAAGTTAATTCCAGCTGTGAAAATGTTGAAGCAATTACAGTGTACTTAGAACACACTTAGAGAATTTTCCAGACCAGTCTCATAGACTTTGTGCATATTGTCAAGTGATGTCCTCATATGGAACTCTTTTCCTTTTAAGACCCAATTACATTAACTGTTTGGATCAGGTTTGTTTTGTTCGCTTTTGTTTAGTAGGAAATGTGATTAATATTACCAAATATGCCTACCAGTTTTGTTATTTGAAGACCTTCTTGTGCATTTTATTGGAGTGGGGTCCTTAAACGTGTTAAAGGTTGTCTCTTGAGGTCTGACAGGGAGGGGGAGTTTTATGAATGAAAGAATCAAGAAAGTTTCACTAAAAGGGAGGCATACAAGTTTAGCACCTGATTAGCTTTCTGTTTGGCATGGCATTTGCAATTATGTGGTGATATCACCCTGCTGGATCCAGAGGGATTGGGAGAGCAAACCCTCACCCACAGCAAACACAATTTTTTTTTTAACCAGTGGTTGACCATCAAATGTCGAGTGAATAACCGGAGCACAAAAGAATGCTGGAAGTCAACCGTGAAACCCACTGTAGACTCGATGAGGCATGTAACACTCAGTCTGTAGTGTGTATCCATTCTGATCAGCCCTCCCCCCTATGATATGAATGATAATATTCCGTCATAACATCCATGCACTTGTTCTCAAGCATTCCACACAAGTTAATCTTTGTATTCTTTGTAGGCGATGTGACAGAAATGATTGTCACGTGGAGCACTTTTAATGACACTCCATCGGTTGTCCAGTATGGGAAGGTGCAGCCCAGTAACAATGCCACAGGATCCAGCACTAAGTTTGTTGATGGTGGGTCACTACATCGTGCACAGTTCATTCATCGTGTGAAACTGACTGGACTAGAACCAGGAGCAAAGTATGGTAAGCTGGTTGTGAACAGAATGTAAGTGTATTGGAAGAGATTTTGCAGTCTCAAAAGTGCACGTCCAAGTAATGATTAAACATCCCTGTTTTAAAAAAAAAAAAGATAAAAAGCAGAAACTAGAATTGTCACATTTTACATAAATTGCAAACTTGGTACCGAACTTGATTTGCTTTGTAACGTCTGTGTCTGGATGTTTACCTACTCTGTCAGCGGATCTTGTGGCATGATCTCTTGATCCTGCACATGCATCAGCCAATCACCTGTTGTTTTGTTGCGTAACATTTTTTGAAAAGGGAAGATTAAGTCCACAATCATAGGTTCAGCTGACACAATACAATACAGTCAATCAGTCAAACATGTATAGTAACAGATCATGCCAATCATCTCTTCACACTAGTCTATCGCTGTGGAAGTGACGAGGGCTGGAGCCCTCTGTTTTTCTTCACTGCACTTCGGGATGGTAGCAACTGGAGCCCTCACTTGGCCCTTTACGGGGACATGGGCAATGTGAACCCTCAGTCTCTGGGTCGCTTGCAAGTCGGAGCACAGGGAGGACAGTATGATGCCATCTTGCATGTCGGTGAGTTCCACTTTTTAACTAGTATTGGATTCAAGCTCCTCAGTATATGGCTGCTATTATGGCATATGATTGAAATGCTGATGAGCAAAGACGTAGAGCTGTCTTTCTATGTTTAGCTCATCTGACCAAAATTAATGTATGCGGAAGTGAGTACATCGGTCAAGTGTATCATCTTGACAAAAGTGGTTGCATATCACATCAAAGTATGTAGGTGTGTGTTCATAGCATGTTATTCATGGAGCATTTTAAACACTACTGGATCATAAAACAACCATCAGACTGTCTTAGCTCTTTGGAACTGTCAACAAAACAATACTGGGTCCAGTATTTACATAGTACATTTGGGAACATAATTCGCTCCAAGCGGGAACGAAATAGAGCGTGTTTTTAAATGAAATTGACAGTCCGTTGGTATGAACTCACCGCACTATGAGTTTATGCACACTTGACAGAGCTCCCAACATGTACGATTTTGGCATAGTTTTTACGTTTTTCCACCAATTTTACACTTGTATGATTTTGTTTTTCATGGGTTCGATTTTTGATAATGCCATCTTGGAAAATATTAAGTTTAAAAGACGCTTTATACCCGCATTTTCTTCAGACAAAAGTGGTCTGAAAACCGTGGAAGGACTGATAACAAGTCTTTTTAGACTGTGTGCGCAGTGTGGTACTGTGCAATGACGTATTCATACTAGTCTTGGTTCTAGACGTGGATCGTTACTCGCAAATTTTAGCTGCACGTACGTACGTATGTACAGCTCATTTAAACTAGTAGTGTAAGCCATATGCATGCAACACGTAGTAGATCAGAGAAACATGGAAGGGCTGCATAGCACCGTGATCAGAATATCAATGAGAATATAATATCAAATCAGTGCTCTGAAATATGTGATTGCTGAGCTGTCAGTAACTGAGTACCTTCTTCAGGGCAAATTTGCTTGCCCTTAAGAAGGTACTCAGTACTCAGTTACTGATAGCTCGGCAATCACATATTTCAGAGCACTGATTTGATTATATATTTTCAAAGATATTGCGTGCAACACATGATGGCTGTGGACAAAAGGAACATAACGTTTCGTATTGAGAGTGAATTTTTTCATCTCAGGAGAGCCGATACTGCATTCATCGTGCACGGCGTCACCAGTACCAGGGCACGCTTTTTCTCAGATGTGTACGTACATGTACAGTTGTACATACATGTACCTGACTTGTGCCCGTTAGACATCTAAACTGCTGCCAAAGTTTTGGAAGAACCCATTGGTATACATGTATGTAGTATCTTATCGCTCAGTCTGTGTATTACATATGTCTTGACATGGAACAGCCGTCTAGACGATGAGGGGTCAAGTGACGTTATGTTCAACGACTTTATTTTAAAGATGGCGGCTGAGAGAGCGAACCCGTTAGATTGAATGGATAAAGGCAAAAAGACTGGAAAATACCTGAATAACATTAGTGAAATCATTCAATAAATGGTTTGTAGAAAGCGGAAAGGTCAAGGATCATGTTCGTGTGCAAAAGAAATTGCGCCCACAATGATAAGTGGGTGCGCCGAAAATGTTTAGTACTCCGACACGAAATTGCGTTTATGGATGTGTGGCTGAGGATGGATCGGGAGTGAGAGTCCGTGCCACACTAGTAGGGCTAGTAAACAGTCAGATTATTTTACATTTCGCACAATATGCAACGCTGATTTCTGTGTGAGTCACGCGGGTTGAAGTGATTGCGAGAAGCACATTGCTACTGATAAACACACTCGGGCAGTAGAACTAGAACTTGCAAGGAATACCCCCAGAATTACCAGCTTTGTTGTGAAACAGTTTAAACTACATGTAACTTCCATGGCTGCAGACCCAATGTTTGTTATTCGCCCTCGTTAGCCGTTATACACTATGCAGGTTACTATCCATAAAAGTCTACCATAAAAAGGGTTTGCCCTGATCAGTTGACTGTAGATTACGATATTCTGTGCACTGCTGCAATGAAAAGTACCATTTTGAAATCTGAATGTTGGGAGCTCTGGTTTGATGCGGAGCACGCTGAGTACATGCAACAAATTTATTCTGGAATATATGGTCTTCGCCAAAGGCATGCAAGATCCCGGTTGGAAAAATTCATACCAGCCTGTCTTTCTCTCACTGCTGAGGGTGCACTTCAACTCATGGTGGATTGTATGTAAAAGATAATGTAAAGTGGCTAAGGATTTATAAAACTGATACCGTAGACAATTCACAATACCATTGCTGTGTTCGACCCCCAATTTGTCTTTTGTATTTCACATATCATACTTTCAAGAAATATTCTGAATATTGCCTGGCAAGAAGCCCCTTTGTTAATTTTCTCCCCAGGGGACTTTGCTTACAACTTCAATGACGATGACGGCAAAGTGGGAGATGAGTTTATGCGCCAGATTGAGTCGGTTGCAGCCTACGTGCCTTACATGACGACAGTTGGTAACCATGAATATGCTTAGTAAGTGTTACTGGATGGAGTCGGTTCTATCCTCAGTGATACCGGTATATCTACCGTATGCTGCTTGCAAGCTGTATGAATCAAACTCTTTGCATCAGAATCCTACTATAACATGGGCAGAGTAACAGGTGCTTGACATTCCCCCTGCCTCTCCCCTCCCCCCCTAAAAAAATAAGAAAAAAAAAAGTAAAAGGAAGAAATACTGCAAGAACTTTTAAAAATAGGAGGGAAGTGGATGAAATAATTGAGATTGATCCTGTTCCACTGTTAATGGTTTGCCAGTTCGCTGCTGATGGGTACTCTATTGTCAACCCCCCCCACCCCTGGATACCATCCTGGTAACACCCATGCAGTTGATTGAGGAATCCTTGGCAGTAAGGGCAGGACAGGTTCAAAACAACTTGTAAAATCATTCCACTTGAAATTGTATTAAGTCATTTACAACTGACATTTTATTTGGCACACCAACAGTAATTTTTCCCACTACAAGAATCGATTCACCATGCCATCCTATGAAGCCAACCAGAATCTGTGGTATAGGTAAGTAACAAAGTCATATCTGCTTCATGAACAAGTATCCTTTCACCAGCAATGTGGAGAGAGACTGGTAGGTGGTAGTTAAAAAGGCACCCTGTACCCTTTTGAAGACTCTACATTCCAGTCAAACCTGGTGAGGAATGTTCCCTGTCATGTGTGCACAAGGCTCATATTTTAACCAGTGAACAATACAAAAACTCATTGGCTTATTCATGACAGTAGCCAGACCAACACTACTGGCAGATGACAGTAATGCAGGTCTCAAAGCAGGTCTCGGTATCAAGACTGGTCTTGTGACCAATTTTTGAAGGTTTCGACAATTTCAAAGTCTTGAAAGTGCAAAAGTCGTGAGATCTTGAGTCTCTAGTGTAGAGACCTTATTGTTCCATTGGCAAAAAAAAATCACAAAAAAGGCAAATAAATTTATGTGATCTAAGTTACTTTTGAGACGATGTTATCCATTCCGAGGAACGAAATCAAATAGTCTGGTACCCACATGTTAATGGAAACTGCTTTGTGGTACTTGCCGGGATACTCCACAGTGATAAAGCTTGGTTTTACAGACCACACCAAATTCCATGACCAGAAGGGAAACAAGTGGAAGCATTCTGTGATCGACATGCATATTTTGTAAGATTAAGCTCACAGAGGGGGCTGGCACAAGTTCAACTTTGATAAAAATGAAGACCTGTTCTCTGTGAAGATACTTTAAGATAAAGAGCTGTAAAGAAAGCAAGATGTGTATCTTCTAGTTTTTTTAAGAGTCTGACAAATGGTTACAATTTAAAATTCAAAGTGAGTAATACTGTGACAGCATTTGAATTCATTCAGCACTTAGAAAAAAGTGTTTACACCATGTTTTGGGGGAATAAATGTATATTTCTCATTGTCTCATATTTAAGATGGTCTCGGTCTGTCTCGCCCATAAGGTCTTGGTCTCAACTTACGACCCTGTGGTCTGCATCTTGGCTCTCAGGTCTTGATCTCGAGCTTTAACAGTCTCAACTACATCACTGGCAGAGGATTTGGGGATTTGTAGCCTGAGCAGATGTACAGGAATTCAAACTATAGAGAACACTCACCTTTTGTGCATCTGATGGGAATTTTATTTTGTTGCTTGGGCTATTCCTATGATGGCCCTAAAGGGACATCACATATTACAAATATATTTGCAAATATCTGTGAAAATATGTGCAATGTTGCAAATTTTGTCATAAATAGTTTTGCAGATATTGTGATCTTCCAAGTTTTATCACATACTTTGTGGTATACTTTCTGCACTGTTGACATAGTATACTTTACCTGGATATGTTTCAAGAAACTAGAGGGTTTTAAGGTTGTTGACTTCCAGCCAGTGATGGCCGAACCATTTTCAAAGGGATGGGGACACTCATGAGATAATCAGGCATCGGCCATAAATAGACCAATCCATTAAGCCCAGGCCCATCATAGGACCTGCCACCCCCCATGTCCAGTGTCCCAGCTTTCATTTTGTTAACGTGCATAAAGGAGAGTAGTCGGGTGCATGTTCGCCTGAAAGGTGTGTACTTTCATGTTTTTCAGTGGCCCATGCTTTTCGAACATCTTTTTTTGTTTCAGCTGGAATATTGGACCAGTTCACTTTGTGATGTTTTCAACTGAGGTGTATTTCTTCACAGAAGATTCCAAGCAGACAAAGGTCAACCAGTTGAAGTGGCTGGAGGAAGATCTTAAGGTATTTGGCAGCTCATCCATGGTTTAGCAACTGAAACCACGCTCACACTACTCAGTCTTAAAACAAAGATGTATCTATGACAAGTATCTCAGCCTAGTGCTTTCACACAAATGAAACATATTGCTATAATTTTCGAATGTCATGTTCTAATGAAACCCAGTGGATATGGTGTATTCTGTGTACGGGGCCAAATTAAAATTGTTGAATTGAAGACCTGTCAGATCTAAGCTTTTAAATAATTAAACCTAGGACTTGGTGAATCATTCAGATTTTTGTGCTTGCTGCAACTGTGTATAGTTTGATTTTGCTTTCAGGAAGCAAATGATCCAAAGAACAGAACCCAACACCCTTGGATCATAACACTGGGACATCGGCCGATGTATTGCTCAGACCTTGATGGTGATGACTGTACCAAAAAGGGCAGCGTTGTAAGTAAAACTAACCATGAATTCTTAGCTCTAATGGAATAATGCAGTGTTTGCAAGACTTTTGATAATGAATGAGAAGCATGAGGAATGATGAGCTCATAAGACCATCCTTGAATTTCAAGGATTTGTGTTGTCTCAGTCTAGAATACCGATGAGGATGTTTTCTTCATCTTGGAAGTTAAAGGGACTTAGCATGGCTGTGGCAAGATCAGATTACACACATGGAAGTTTCCCTTTCAACTCATAAGTAAACTCACGAGGAAGAAAGAAATCAAAATCAGAATGAAGACAATGATTTTACATTCTAGAATAGTCTATATCACATGCTCCCCATGGCTGTTTGCGGATGTTTTGTAAAATCCAGCCTGTGCTTTTTGGAGAAGAAGAAAAAAATGATCAGAATACTGTAGGGCACTTTGAGAACTACTTGGCCAATGCCTTATTGAAAAAAATATGACTGTAAAGCAGAAAAGTTTATAAAATGGTCAGCAAAAAGTGTGGGTGCATATCTTAGCAGTCTACCAACTAACTTGTTTTCTCTTTCTTGAGGAGGTTTTGCACAATTACAACTTTGGTGTCTATTTTTCCTTCCTTTTATAGGTTCGAGCAGCTTTGGAGGATTTATTCTATAAGTATGGTAAGTCACTCCAAGTGTGAAAATAAGCTCTCTTATATATATCTGCATGTGGTTTTAAACAAAGAAAAAAGAGAAAAATACAGTAGGGATATCTCAAAATTAAGTGGGTAAAAGTTGTTTTGGGTGAAAAGGTATAAGAAACTCTTGAATTTCAAGGAAATATCTGATAATGTCCTTACTTTTTGTACAGGTGTTGATATGGAGATCTGGGCTCATGAACATAACTATGAGAGACTGTGGCCAGTCTATCGTGAAAAGGTACAGAAGCCTAGAGTTGCCAAAATGTCTCTTTTTAGGAAGAGAATTTTGAAGGAATTTTACCTTGCTGATTTCATTTTGCAAAGGAAGAATCTCGTGTTACATCCTCAGCACAATATACTAAGTGGTTATCAAATTTTCAGTATTTAATATTTAAGTGTGGGAATTTTTTTCACATTTCACTAGAAACTCGAGTATAGGATAATTCATTTATTGTAAAATTTGTACCTTTTTGACAGGTTTACAATGGCAGTACAGAGGCACCGTACACAAATCCTAAGGCACCTGTGCACATCATTACTGGATCAGCGGTAAGTGATAGATGATACTGTATAAAAAAAGAGATAGGATGATATTCACTGTTGATTGTTTTGTCTCAAACAATAGATGGCTTTCTAAATTATACCACTTTATGTATATTTTGAAAAGAGTGTTAAACTCTATTATTTGAGGATTTTAACCCCCTTTGCATCTCTAAAACATCCTCTTCATCCTTTTTATCTTGCACAGCACACCCAAGTAACCTTTGAACTGATTTTCAACAGAAAAGCAAAATGGCACCCACTTTTTAAGTTGCTGTCTTATAAGTTGTGAAACATGGTACTTCCTTCCTCAAATAAAAGCCATGGAGGTTAAGGGAAATTCCATCTGTTTGACCCATCTTGCCTGGTTGAAGATGGAGAAAAGATTTCTGCCCAATTCCCAATCTGTTGGACATGGATATTCTCAACATCTCCAAAATAAACATATTGAAGGATCCCCCCAAAAAGGAAAAGATCTTTTCTGACATGAGCAACTGAAATTACTGGGAAATGCCCTTGCCTTAAAATTCTTATATATAAGGCTTTTCTATTTTATTTATTATTTTTTTTCTGCTTTTTTTCTTCCTATGACAGGGCTGCAAAGAGCATCACAGCTTCTTCTTTTTCCCCCGGCCATGGGATGCTTTTCGTGCCCTTGACTACGGTTTCACATTGATGCATGTGATCAATGGAACCCACCTGACCTGGCAGCAAATCTCAGATGATCAGGTAGTTTTCAGGGTCTATTAGTTACAGAGATAAAACTAAAAGCAGGGATCAAGTCTTATGTCCAATTTCTTCTCTAAAAATAACCCTATCCAGACAACCACATATTTCATATCTTAGTTTGTGGGCCTGATACTATTTCTTTGTCCAAAGCTCTGTTATAGAGTACCAAAGTGAATACGCCAAGCGTACAGTTATGTGCGAGAACCAGCACGTGAACCAAAACGTGCATACTTCATTCGCTTGCACTACTCTTCCTGGTTCAAAGTGATGTCACACTTTGGTACCCTGTAGCCCAAACGTACACTAGTGAGTTCATGAACAATACAATTTATTGTTTGTTGTGATCAGAGCGGATATGTGTAAGTTGAGGGCTTTTATCATGCACAAAGCCATAGCATGAAGGATTTGTGCTCCAAGGTAGCCCCATGGCAGCACATTGCCTTTTTTGGGGGGGGGGGAGATTGGAAGCGTCAGCATTTTTAAGAAACGTTACTACCACTGCCTTTATGGGAGGATAAGGATTTGTCATGAGTCAGGAAAAGGGGAGGTCATATTTGGAAAAGAATCCACTTTGCTTGTCTCTGTATGCTCTGAACCCTAGACCAGGATATGAGACAGGCTGATGGGGGGGCAGATATTTGCTTGTTCAGTAATTGTGAGGATCCAAAACACTGATGGCAGATCCAGGTTCATTCAAATACGGGAATGTAATGCTAAAAACAGGCTTTCCAAATCTTCCTCAGGAAAAGAACTCTCCCCCCTCCCAGTAAGTGGTAGTACCATTTGTAAATTGCCGGCGCTTTTAATTAGTAACAGAATTGCCAACATGTCTGGGTGAGCAACTTGCCTACCTGCCCCCTCTCCTACCTCTGGATTCATCACTGCCTGTAGTGTATTCCTAATTAGGGCTTCCAATGCCCCTTCTGTTTCACTTTACTCGGTACTTTGTATAAAAACATAATCTGCCTCTGGTTACAGCTTTCACCCCATACCTGCATTTATTTCCAGTCATTGTAATCCGTGTTTAACAGATATGTGCTTGATCACTGATCTAAGAATCCCGGATCTGGAAAAGAGGATTTAATGAAGGGAATTTCAATTCTAAATGTGGAAGAGTCCCACAGTTGTAGGGAATCCCATAAGACCCACATGACTCCTTGCAGCTGGTATTTGGTAATGGCTCCTATTATTTAAAACAATGTAAGGAACCACTAAAACAACGTAAAGTATAATCTATATTAGGAATTAGCAGATGCAGTCTAAAATTCTAGTACCTGGTTCAAATAAAAAATGCTCAGCAGTCAAAGTACACCCCCTCAACCAACCCACATGTAGCTACTGCCTTGCCCTCTCTCAACGTCTTCCCATGACCTTTAAAATCTGTTTCTTTTCAACATTTTTATCATGCAGCAAGGAAAAGTGATCGACGAAGTGCTGCTCATTAAAGACAAACATGGCCCGGAAGCCTGGCTGTAATCTTGGGGAGCAGTTTTGCTGTTTGGTTTGGCTTTTTTGTTCTGTTCGCTGTCTTTTTTGGTTTTTGAGAATAGACAAATATGGAGGCTGGATGCTGTATGTTTTTCCATCTACATGGATAACAGCAATTTGAATCTTCAAACCCACAGAATCCTCTTGATCAAGCATTTTGTAATTTCTTATTGTCATTTTATTGACATTTGAAAGCATTAGGGATCACACTGTTTTACAAATTCCATCCTTTGCAATGTATTTTATTCCTATACTTGAAAAATCTATCTGAAATTTGTATTTTTGACCCATTGTTTACTGTGATACCTATTCAGAAATATGCTATTTGATAATATTGTGCTAATGAATAACATCTTTTGTGATATAAATTGTAAAAAATATTAAATACAGTTGTGCAAAAAAAATTTGTGTTTGAACGAAGTTTCCATAGGAATTAATTTGAAATATACATTCATTTTATGCTGATTAGTGAAAAGTTTGGAGCTACTCCAGAAGAATACTTATAGAATTTAAAAACCTCCTTACTAATTTTCTGTTACATGTTCTTGTACAAATATAAAAGCATTGCAGACTACTGTTTAAAATTATTTTGTAATTCTTTAGAAGACCAGAGTCTCAGTTGGATGCTGACTGAAATCTGGGTTAATAAGGAAATTTGATACTTATGAAATAGAGACTTGTATTACTCAGTCATTAGAATTAAAAATGGCTGTGCCAGATTTTTGCAATAATACAAGTGACAATAGAGTGGAAATAGTATACTGTTTTACAAAACATGTCCTCAAGAACTTTTTGTAGACCTGTAAAATAATGAGGTCACGGTTTGTTTACGCTACATGTGCATAGGAAAGTATGGCAACTCGATTGGACACAGGCTAGGCACACGCTTAAATAAAGCGTGTTATTATTGTTTGGGGATACCTCACCAAGTATATAATCCTCTAATTAACATATAACTGAGTGCACAAACCACAAAGCTGCAAAGCACCTCTCCGGTGTAACGGTCTCATTTTTTCCGCGTGCTCGGCTTTCCGGGAAGAACGCACCGAATAAATGAGCACATTGCTGCAACGTGCCCACTCATCCAGTAGAGATCCAAGTTCAAGAACAGAGATTACATGTAGCTCGCGCTTTCTCAAATGGAACCTAATCAGAATGTTCCATTCCAAATCTTCACGAAACAAGTTGATTCCGTAAGATTCAGGGGCGGATTCAGAATCTTCTGAAACGGGGGCCTGGAAAAAAAATAAAACGGCAGTGGTATAATGCCCATGAGCGCGTAGTGCTAGTGCAAAGCCGTACGGCGTCGGGTCCGGGGCCCGCTTAAATGCCCCAGGAATTTTTTGGATTCCACGCACACTGTGGTGTAGTTTCAGGCAGTACGACCCCTCGTCTTTTCCTTCCCCTCCCACTTCTTCTTTTTTCTGTCTTTTTTGGGGGAGGGGCGTAAGCCCCAAGCCCCCTAAATACACCCCAGACATTGCAGTGAAAAAAATAATCAAATTGTACCAATGAGGGTATCTCCTCCAAATGATGTCATCTTCATTATACGGTATGAGCTTAGTGCAGTGGATTGCAGAAACCTCCATTGTTGCCCAATCGAACTTTCATGTTGTGAATTTATGGTAAATTTAAAACTCTGTGGCAAGCTTAACCATATTACCGCTGCAGTTCAGAAAGAAAGCAATTTGATGCTCGGTGGGTTATGTTCAGTGTCAATAGGTTATGCATGCTACAAATATATCAACGGGCCCTTTTTTGTGATGTCACAATCGTGCAAGGCCGCGATGTGACGGTGATGGTAATGTGGATAGTGTTGCGATGGTAATCTACTTGTTCAAGATAAACCAATCAAGCATGCAGCAGGGTTTGCACGTGCGCTTGTACATGTACGTGGTTGAAGCTGCCAAAAGTATATGGGTGCAGACCACTAATTCAAGTGAGAATTTTTGACCAGCTCATTAGCATTAAAAGTGCCTCCCCCCACAGTATCTTTTGAAAAAGGAGATTGTTTGGCCCCCAAAATGGTGAGATTGTGTAAATCGTCGCCAGGATCAACTCCCTGGGTCTTTGAGCTTTCATTATGAGGGCAGAAGGGCTAAAAACTACGGTTGAAAAATGATCGTAAGTGCCCGAGNAAGTGACCAGACATGAATTTCATTTGTGTTTCAGAAATTGGGTCCTGAACGGTGCTGATTTTACACTGTTTTCAATGGGGCTTGAATTAGTGGACTGGACCCATATGCGATCACCGTGGCCAAAGGCGGTGGTATTGTTTGTAACACATTTAGCGCAATCCAGTCACGTGGATGAAAAGGTCTTGGCGGGTACTCTTTGCCAACAATTTGAGGGGCGGTGCATAGCATGCACCGACCACAGCCACACGCGTTGTATGTGCTCATGTGACTTGCACCTGACATACTTCAACATTGTGAGTCGTGGGTGTAAAAGTACAGTAAAATCATAGACCTGGAGGAGAAACGGTGTGCAGGATCTTCGTCTTTAAAAGTATTAATCACAGACAAAAATGACGGGCATCTTTGGTTTCCAAATTTTGGTTGCTAGTGTTTTTCTGATAGTAGGGATAGATGGCCAGCTGATGTCCCAACCTGAACAAGTTCATCTGTCAGCCACAGGTAGGCCTACGTCCGGATCAGCGCTGATTCCTTTCGTTTTCGCATTTTTGGCAGCTCGCACGCCGCACAGACATTTTTACTATAAGTTGTAACCTTGTAGGGTCGGTGTTGGGCGATTGTGTTAATTTGTGGGTTGTAACTGAAAAGTATGGATCATTTTTGTGTCTTGAGTTATTTTCTAAGGAGGTTGGGCACACAGCAGTCGCAGTTTTTTTACATGCTTGATAATACTCGCTGATTTCTTTTTAGTGACATCATCCGAGACATGACTGAAACTGAAGAAATCTTGAGATTTGAAGCTTTTCATTGTGAAAGTGGCAAGTTGCACTATGTAAAAATAACTCTCGTATAAGTGGTAGGCTGAAAAGAATCAGAGGGTACTCAACCTCTAAGGAATCTGCTTAAAACGTCTAGGAAAGAATCTTCTTAAAAAGCAACCCCTAGTAAAGTAACTTTGATCGATAGTGTCAGCCTGGTTACTTCATACATCTTCCTCCTTTGTAACTTATGGAGGCCTATCATAAATGATAAAACTCTTATGCATTTCCCTCCCCTCTTAAATTCCTAGTGACAGGCTAGGCCTGGTTTTTATATTTTGAATGGTAATAAGGGACTAGTAACTCTTACGAGATCAAAATAGGCTGCAATTACACGTATGATATTGAATTCCAGATCTAAATCTAATAAAAGTCCTGCGTAAGTGAATGATGACTGAAAAATATCTAAGAAAATTAAACAATTCATACTTCCAAGTATATCAAGTGGGCTGATATACTTTTGGGGCCCATGGCAGCTCCATTAATTGTTTTGATCATTAGAGGTTTCTATAACTTCTGTGCACAGTAGCACTGGGTTTTTCTATCTTTTTTGATAATTCTTGGCAAACAGTTTTGCTAGTTGAAGACCTTGTTTTGTGTATTGTTAGTAATGGGGTTCAAAAATAAAAGTGCCTCTTGAGGGAAAGAATATGATAAATGGTAGAATAAATTAAGAGGGTTTCATTAACAAGTTTATTTTTTACCCCTGATTTGTTTTCTGTTGAAAATGTACTTCTGAAATTTGTATCGCCAGGCTTGATCTGGTAAGGACAAACAGCAATCCTCGTCCTATGGCAGACACATTTTTTAGCAGCAGTTGACCAGCAAATGGCAGCCCATATTGCACATAAGCAAAAAGGGATGAATGAATAACTGCAACACTAAAGAATGTTGGAGGTCAACCATAAAGCTGGAAAGTAGGTTCTTTGAGGCACACTGTACAATGTATCCAATCTGATCACGAAAGGACTTCTGCCCTCCTATGATTTGAACTATCAAATCCGTTTACAACATCCATTCACGTGTGCTCAAGCATTCCATTCAAGTTAATCTCTGTATTTGTAGGTGATGTGACAGAAATGATTGTCACGTGGAGCACTTTTAATGACACTCCATCGGTTGTCCAGTATGGGAAGGTGCAGCCCAGTAACAATGCCATAGGATCCAGCACTAAGTTTGTTGATGGTGGGTCACTACATCGTGCACAGTTCATTCATCGTGTGACACTGACAGGTCTGGAACCAGGAACCAAGTATGGTAAGCTGCTTGTGAACAGCATGTAGGTGGCGGTCACTTCATTAGTTTGGCAGACCTCTTGGAAGTGGCTTTCGAGTTTTAAAAAGTACAAGTTGATCAAATGAAGAGGAGTGATAAAATGAATAATTTCAAGCCAAGGTTTACCAAAGTTATATCAGTCCAAAAGCATTGTCAGTCCCAATTACATATATTTGCACACCTATAAAAAAAATTGAAAATTATACTTGATCAAAGCACCCCTCCTAAAAAAAGCAGACAGATTTGAAATCATGGTACAGAATTCAATTGGATATTCTTACACATTTAAATCAACTTGTTAAGGTTTTCGTAGGGTGTTTACACAGTTAGTTGACCTTGTGGTACAATCTATCGACCCTCCTGCCATCAGCAAATCACTTTGTTGCTCAAGATTTTCTGGAATAGTTAAAAAGTTGGAAGTTAAAATTTGTTTTAGGCTTGAGTGAGTGCAATGCAATGGATCAGCTGTGCAACTTGACAGATTATGCCAAACATCTGTTTCGTACTTAGTCTATCGCTGTGGAAGTGACGAGGGCTGGAGCCCTCTGTTTTTCTTCCCTGCGCTTCGGGATGGTAGCAACTGGAGCCCTCACTTGGCCCTTTACGGGGACATGGGCAATGTGAATCCTCAGTCTCTGGGTCGCTTGCAAGTCGGAGCACAGGGAGGACAGTATGATGCCATCTTGCACGTTGGTGAGTTCCACTTTTAACCTATGCTATGATGATACTGTAGGATCCAAGCTCCCTGGTATATGGCATGTGATACAAATGCTAACGAAAAAGATTTAGAGCTGTCCTGTCCTATGTTTAGGTCATTGGACCAATGCAGTAGTGAGTATGTTAGTCAAGTGTGTTGGTCAGTCTTGACAAAAATGGTGGCACATGATGTCGCAACAATATGATAGGTACTTTGTCCTAGAATGTTGTCTATCAAAGCACTTTAAACACTATTGGGCTGTAAAACAGCCGTTAGGCAATCTGAGCTCTTTGGAACTTTCAACAAAACAATATCGGGTACAATATCCACCTGAAACACTTTGGAACACAATTGTATGCAAATAACAATGTAACCTGGCAAAGGATCTTGGGAAAAAGTAGATCTTGTTGACAATTCACAATGTCATTGCAGTATTAAACCCCAAACTTGGCTTTGTATTTCGTACATAATGTGACCTTCAAGAGATGTTCTGATCATCTGGCTAGATGCCTACATGTTGATATTTTTCCCCAGGGGACTTCGCCTACAACTTCAACTACAATGAAGGCAAAGTGGGAGATGAGTTTATGCGCCAGATTGAGTCGGTTGCAGCTTACGTGCCTTACATGACAGCAGTTGGTAACCATGAAGTTGCCTAGTAAGTGTAACTATAAATAGACGTGTGATCCATAGCTGCCAGTGTTTTATATTCAGTACATTGTTTTCAAGCTGTATGAATCACGCTGATTACGTCAGAATCCCAATGTAACGTTAGTGAACCTTCCCTAAAAGGGAAAAGGAAAAATCAAAGGGAAAAAAGGACAATTGAGAGAACATAAAAAAGTTGGAAAGGGGATGAAAATCAGCATTAGCTCAAAAATACTGAGGATTGACCCTGTTCCACTGTTGACAGTTGTCAGTTTACTGGTAATGAGTACTTAATTGTCAACCCCCCCACCCCAAAAAACATCCTGGTGACGCCCATGCACCATGATTGGGAAAACCTTAGCAGTAAGGACAGCACTGGTTCAAAACACCTGGTAAAATTAAGACACCTGAATTTGTGTAAAATCATTGCAATTCAGTCCTATAAATAGTTTTGGAGTCTGTTTAAACTGAATTATTCAGCAACTGACATTTTATTTGGCATACCAACAGTAATTTTTCCCACTACAAGAATCGGTTCACCATGCCATCCTATGAAGCCAACCAGAATCTGTGGTATAGGTAAGCAGCAAAATCTTACCCACTTCATGAACAAGTATCCCCTCATTTGCAGAGCAGAGAGAGGCTCAAAGTAATTACCAAACAGGTACCCTGTACCCATGCGAGGATGCTACATTCCAGTAAAACTCATCAGAAATGTTGTGTTATTTGTGCATATGGGCTCATACTTGGCGCACACAACAAAAACTTGAGGCTTTTCAACAACAGGGAGCAGGCGATTGGCCAGTGGCTGTGGATTTGTAGTACATGTGATGTACAGTTGTCAGACGAATCCATCTGCAGGAGGAACTCCTAGTCTTTGTAAAGGGCTCCACTCTTTCATTTCACTGGATGTGGGGATGGGAATTCTTTTGGAGTGTGTATGAGTTTGTTTCTGCATTC